ACGTCTAATGGCATCTAACAGTGGTGATTAACGTCACATTTTTAACATACTTTTGTCACCGCCAAGTCAGCAAGGTAAGTAAGGTAAGTTAAAAATTTACTAATTTACACTTTATTTTACTATATATACGAGTACTGATATATACGGTTATATTTTATACGATATATTATACTACTAAAAAAAATACCATTCAACTTTACCTTTTTATTTAAATTAAAATACCTTTTTACTTTTTATCTTCTGTATCCGAATTCTGTTCGTATATCGTTAATTCTTCTTTCATCCCAAATAATGTAAATGCACAAGAACAAACAAACTGAATTTCGAGTTGTCTCCAAACAATGTAAAATACGTTCCAAAATTTGGTTTTATAGATTTTTTATGTTCATCAGACCTAATAACCCAGACTTCAATTTCTTTGGATAATCAAAGTCACCCTGGGTTGCCTCTAAGTAAGATAATAGTTGTTTTCTCATTTTGAAAAAAATTACAAAAAAATAAAAACCACAGTATTAAAAAAAAAAAAAAAAAGACCCAAATGACAATAATCTTCCAAAATGAAAGAAATATAGTTGAAAAACTTCATTTGGATTCTTTATTTATTTTTTTTTATTTTTTTTGCCTTTTGCAGGTTACCAACAATTATCAGTTTGTCGATGATATTTTTTGTTCATATTTTTTGGACACATGTTTGTCAGTTATACATAATTTTGATGTGTATTATTTATTTATTTATTTATTTTTGTTATGAATGTATTCAAGTGTTTTTGGTAAACAGGTTGGATTCATTTATGCTAATGGATTGTTAGACATATGTCTTATTGTCAATTATGGTTAATTATTAACGATGGAAGTAAATTTATTAGGGATCGGACAAATGGTTGCTTGTCAATTATGGATGTATTAAAAAAATATATAAAAAATTAAGGATGTATCTGAATGTTTTGTAAGCAGGTTGCATTCAACCATTGCTTGGTGGGTATGTTAGTAATAATGTGTTGTTTTGATTTTAAGGGTAATTTTGTCCGAATATTTTCTCACACAATCACTCAAATGGATGTTTCATGTTAAAGGTAATTTTGTCCGAAAAATTTTCTCACACAATCACTCTAACGTAGGTTAGTTAAAATGACCCCCTTATGATAGTTGAGGGGGATTAATTGCTAAAGATATTCATAGGGGGTTTTTTGCAAACGAGTGAAAGTTGAGGGGAGTTTTTTGCAATTCGCCCAAACAAAAAAAAATGTTTCATGCTTTTTTTTTTAAAAAAAAAAAAAAAAAAAAAAACCTTTAATAACAACAGTTATAGCAATGACATAATTTAACCGACTAATTAAATGTTAAAATTATACATGCTTGCATCTCTACGGTTTCTTTTTCAGTGGTTATTAATGGTAGCCCTGTGGGGATGTTTTTACCTACTCGTGGCTTACACCAGGGAGATCCCTTATCCCCATACTTATTCATTTTGTGTGCAGAAGCTCTTTCTCTTTCTATGCAGGTGACAATTCAATATAAAGTTCTCTCGGGTATTCGCATCTGCCCGTTGGCCCCAGTTATTTCACATTTATTTTTTTTGCAGATGATTCAATTATTTTTTGCAAGGCTTCTCGTTCAAAAATCCAATTCCTTAAGAATCTCCTTAAGCGGTATGAACAAGCTTCTAGACAACAGATTAATTTTTCTAAATCATCTATTTTCTTTTTCAAAAATACCTCTGCGGAGGTCAAGTCCAGCTTATGTCATCTATTGGGGATTCATGAGGAAGGCTTATGTGCTAAGTATTTGGGTATGCCGGTGATTATTGGTCGTTCAAAATGGGATGTTTTTCACTATATTGATCAGCGGGTTTCTGATCGTTTAGCTTCCTGGAAGTCCCTTTTATTGTCTCCAGCTGGTAAGGAGGTTTTAATCAAAGCAGTTCTGGGTGCTTTACCCACTTATGTGATGTCTTGTTTTAAGTTGACCCGTAAATTATGTTTATCTGCCACTTTTGATGGGGTAAGCCGGGAGATTCTCTAAGTATAAATTGGGTTTCATGGGAGTCCTTATGTGAGAAAAAAAAAAGGATGGGGGATTAGGTTTTCGGAGCTTCGAAGCATTTAATGAGGCTTTATTGGCTAAGCATGGGGTGGAACTTTCAGGTTCTTCAGCGAGGTATGGCGTTCAAATTATTCAAAGCTAAATATTTTCAGCACTGTTCCTTTTTGGAAGCCTAGTTAAGATCAAATCCTTCATGGGCTTGGAGGAGTATTTGGTCAACTCAATCTCTTATTACTACTGGTTCTCGATGGATAGTGGGTAATGGGCACTCTATTCACATTTGGAAGGATCCTTATGTTCCTAGGCACCTATTTCCGCTTTTGAGACCACCCCATTTGCTCGTTCCCCAGTTTATGGCTGAGTTGATTGATCCTTCAGGTCAGGGATGGCATGTGGATTTGCTTCGTCGCCTATTTCCAAATGCCACTGTTGATGCTATCCTTAAATGCAAATTCTGTGTTTTTTCTAATGAAGATAGGTTGGGTTGGGATTTGGAATCCAATGGTATGTTTTTAGTGAGACCAGCTTATAAATTGGCGTATGGTTTTCTAGAAGGGAGGGGATCGATCTTTGGTGGGTCCTGGTTTATAACCTGGCAGTAAGTCTTTTTACAACAGTATTTGTTCTTGTGGAACTATGCTAAAAATACAACATTTCTTGTGGAAATGTTGTAACCGTGCTCTTCCTGTCCGTGAACGCTTAAGCGTTTGTGGTCTTGATGTTGATATTATGTGCCCTAGGTGTGGTTTAGCTGAGGAATCTATTGAACATTTGCTTTTCCACTATCCCCATTCTGTGAAGGTTTGGAAGCTTTCCCTGTTTCGATTGGACTTTGCTGTGGATCATCAGTCCTCCTTTACGGATTGGTGGTTACGTTTGTCTAAACAGTGGGGGCATAAGGAGGGGGGATCGGATGTGTTGGGTTTTATTACTTTCTGTTGTTGGTTTATTTGGAAGGCTATAAATAATTTTGTTTTTTGTGGAGAGCTTTGGGATGCAGTGAAGATTGTTAGTTTGACATGTTCTTCATTCTGGAAGTACAAGGAGGGATTAGATGTTTCGTTTTTGCGTCTATCCTGAGGTTAGCTTCACCTTTCTCCCCTCAACCTTTCTCATCTTCTTTGGCCAGATGGATGCCTCCTCCTCCAGGTATTTTTAAGTGTAATGTGGATGCGTCTTTTTCTCGGTTTTCCCAAGTGGGGGGCGGTGGCGCAGTTTTTCGTAATTCGTTGGGCTCTATTCTGCGGGCTGTGATTTTTTGTCAATTCCCTACTTCCAGTGCCACTTCAGCTAAGGCTATATGTCTACGTAAAGCAGTTTTTTTAGGTGTTATCTGCCCCTTTTGCTATGGTTTGGTTTGAATCAAATTCTTTGGTTTTGGTTAAGGTTGTGTCTGCATTGATCCAGGGCCTATTGATATTCAAGCCATTTCCTTTGATATTCGGCTGGTGCTTAGGTCTTTTGCTTCGTCTTGTCTTCACCATGTTCCTAGGTATGACCGTATGGCAATGAGGTGGCCAATGTTCTTGTAGCGCTTTCCCAAAGTCATTTGCCTAAGGATGTAGCGCTTTCCCAAAGTCATTTGCCTAAGGATGTTGCTCTTACCCATGTTCCTTCTGACATTCTTCTTCTAGCAACTAAAGATTGTATGGTTTGATTTGTGTTGTTTGTTTCTGTTTGCCAGGGTAAAATAAAAAATAAAAAAATTAAATGTTAATTCCTAGTGATAGGGCCCACTCATTTTAATGCAATTTTATATTATGATAATAAATAATTAGTTGGTGATACCAAAGGAAATGATATTAGCGGGACAGTATACTTTCTCGTTTAAAAAAAAAAAAAAAAAAAAAAAAAAAAAGTTAAATATAAGAAGAAAAACTCTACTCATGCTGAAGTCGGCCGAGTAGCAGTAGCACAGTCCATATTAATAATTTTTTGTGACTACTCAACACCCCATCTTCAACTGTATACATAGCTTACCAAAATTACCCAAAAAAAATTATAATTAAATCGTAATCCAATGGAATATAATCATTTCATCTCTTGAATGTTTTTTTATATCGACACAGAGAGCACAAAAGTTTAATGTAAAGAATGAGAATATTACTAGGTGCAAATATTTAAGTACTGATCAAACAGAAATTGTAATCATAAGGTTATATTTAGTTGTATGGAATTGAAACCATATAATTGAAATTAGTAGAATTGAAATTAGTAGAATTAGTTCAAAGTTTAAAAAATAATAATAAAAAATAATTTAATTAAAATTTTCTTCAATTCCAAAGTTCTAATTCCATGTAGTCGGAAATAGCCTAAGCATGTGTTCGACTATATGGAATTGGGACTTTAGAATTTAAATTTGTGAAATTGAATAAAATTTTAATTCAATTTTATGAGTTGTTTTTCTCCAATTCCAAGATTCCAATTCCATACAACCGAATACAACAATACTTGGCTGCATAAAATTGGAGTCATGAAATTGAAATCGGAAGAATTAGAAATAGGTTTCGGGTGCATGAAATTTGAGTCATGGAATTAGAGAAAACAACACATAAAATTGAACTAAAATTTTCTCCAATTCTAATTCTAACGTTTCAATTCCATGTAGCCGAATACCGCCTTAATTCAAAGTTACAAAAAAATTAAACTAAAATTTTCTCCAATTCCGAATCTCCACCCAACATAGCCCAGTTCTTTCTTCCTTTTACCTCATTTATTACAAAGCAGATAAAACAAAGAGCAACCCTGTTTCTATTTTTGAACTATAAGTGGAAGAGAACCATGAGACTATGGTGGGAGTTTGAATATGCCCATAAATTTATTATTTGAGAAGAAAAGGTACATGAGAAGAGGGGGACAAAGGCCTTACCTCTTTCCAAACCTAACCATGCCCAAGAGGGAAATAGAGAAACTTTAAAAGCTAACAAAACTGAAGCAGGATCAATGGATCCTACTAAACTGGAATACAGTCCTTTTTAAATATGCAAAAATACACTAATGGTCCCTCTTTGAAATTTCAGCACCCTCCAAGCATGATTAGAAAGAAACTATATATTCTAAGCCATTTAGGCACCCTTGCCTATCCTACATTTTGAACACTTCAGACGGCTTTGCCTGCCGAGAGCTGGACATTGCCTTCACCGTCATCTGGGACATATTTTGCCCAGAACCAATGTGACCTCCACACTTCATTCATTTCTTCAATTGGAACGTTCTTGGTTTCCGGAAGGAAAAAGTACACAAAGAGTGTCATTATGACCACGAACGCGCCAAAGAAGAAGAAGAGACCAAACTTCATGTGACAGAGCATGGAGAGGAAGCCTTGAGCAATGATGAAGGTGAATAACATGTTGACAGAGACGTTGATGGATTGTCCCGCTGATCGGATCTCTAGAGGGAAGATCTCGCTGGGTACCAACCATCCCAATGGACCCCAAGACCATGCAAATGCTGCTACATATGCGCAGATCAAGAATAACACAAAATCGGCTAAGCCTTTTGATAAGCTTCCTACGCCTGAGGTTCCGAATGCCTTCCCAAGGATGATTCCTATCGCAACCTACCATTCAATGAAGCTCTTATATATGTCAACAATGATATATATACAACACCATGCTATCAAATATATAATGGTACAGAGTGAATCAAGAACTTGCATAGCTCTCTAGGACAGCTAATATGTTTATTTGTACAAAGCAGATTGTTTTTAGGGTCTCGAAGAGAGAGTTAAAATGATCAAGATGAGTCTAGTAGTTTAAAGAATTCATTATATGTTGCATTCCGAGCACTGAATCAACGCCTTGAAATTGGAGGAAATTTAGTTCATGATCTTTTACCTGGCAAATAATCATCTGTATGCCACCTTCGAGGAACAATGCCCTCCTCCCATACTTGTCCACCGTGAAGATAGACACGGCAGTGCACACGACATTGACAATGCCGGTGATGACTGCAGACATGAGCGATGCATCATCACCGAAGCCTAATGTCTTAAAGAGGACAGGGCAATAGAACATGATCACATTGATGCCGGTGAGTTGCTGGAAAAATGGTATGAGGCAAGTGATGGTGAGCTGAGGTCTGTATTTTGGCTGAGTGATGTTCCTCCACGGGTGCTCCACCAATGCTGCAGTCTCACTCGCTTCAATGAGGTCCTGGAACTCCTCGTTGACATTGTTCGTACCACGGATTTTTTGTAGCATCTCCCTAGCCTTCTCTCTATCACCCCTCTCGATGAGGGAATTGGGAGTGTCTGGTAGGAAGATCGCGCCAACAGTCATGATTACTGCTGGAACACCCGCAAGGCCTAAAGAAATTCTCCAACCAGTTCCACCCTTGATTTTGGATGTCCCATAGTTCACTAAGTTTGCTATCACAATCCCAATTGTGATGGCCATTTGGAACCCAATGTTAAGGGCACCTCTTATTTTCGCAGGCGCCATTTCTGATAGATAAAGGGGAACAGACTGCCAACAATGATCGGATTCACGTGTTTTAGAGCTAGACAAAGAATGAAAAAAGAAATCAAAGAACCAAATGACCCGACGGTATCACTCCTTCCTCTCCAAAGGGAAGGTCAGGAGTTCGAACCTCGGTGGAGGTATGGTGTGTGAGTAATTGTTTTAACTTTCAAAAAAAAAAATTGAATGAAAAAAGAGAATTCACGTGAAGCAAGTGATCACGGGATTGGCATAATAATAATTATTACCTGATTAGCAAATCCAACGCCAACACCTAACAATATACGACCAATGATGAGCATTGCAAGATTACTGGCCGCGGCATTAAGGATGGCGCCAACAAGAAACACTAAACCTCCAGATAACATGGAGATTTTTCGACCAAAAGCCCTGGTTGTTGCTGAAGCAACGAAAGAAGCCACCAATGCCGCGATGTAGAGGGAAGAGGTGAACATTTGCAGCAGCTGGCTATCGAATTTGCAGTACTGGTTTTGATCCTTACCACTCAGGTTTTTCTCCTTCCTATACACTGATGGGAAGAACTCGGACAAGAAAGTATCCATGGATGTCACACCACCTGCACAAAATCAAATTTACCCATATACCCTTTGCTATTCATCATGCATAGTTACCAAAATTAGTGTCTCATTTGTCAATATAAATTTATCCAACATAGTATAACATAGCAATTTCATCAAAACCATTTTCAAAGACTTGCATCAATTGTTATTATTGTTGTTATAGATAGAAATTATTAATTGAAAGTGAAAGCGAAAAAAAGTGAGTAACATGTCTTTCATTAGCATGAGTTTTTTTTTTTCTTCTCTAAAAAGTGATGAAAAATTGCCATTTCATGCCCAGGAAATTACAAGAAAATAAATAAAATTATTGTAAATTAATAAAAAAAAATTCAAGAAATAAAAATTTTCATGCATTTATTTTAGGAAGTAAATGACATTATTGCCCTTATAGGGAATTGAACTCTGGAAGCTAATTTAGATAACAATAGATATATTGAACATAAAGAAATTTAAGGTGGGGGACAACCTGAGATTCCGATATCATAACCGAAGATGAGACCACCGGTGGCGGCAATCACACAAGTCATCAGCACAAAGGCGGTGACGCCGCCTTCGTACTGCTTAACAGGACCTTGAGAAACCATACCTCCTCCTGCCATCTTTGTAGGAGAACAACAATTCTCGTGGCCTTTTCTGAATAAGAAGAAACAATGCAAGTCTCTCCAAAAAATAAAGTACAAAAATAAAAAACACCCTCTTGCCCTTATTTTATATTTTCTGCGAGGGGCTTATTCTTTTTAGTTTATTTTTAAATTTTATCGATACAAATTATTCTGAAAATTTTCTTTTTGCTGTTTTTCTTTCTCTTCGACCTCATTCTCTCCATTTATATAAGTTATGGAACTGTTGAAGCCTACAATGGCGGGGTAAATTGCGTCAAACTTGTGGTAAAAACAGTGTACAACAATGCAATTTTACCTCTTTATCAGCTGAAATTTTCTTGCGCCATTTTTAGTGTTTGAATGCTTGAATTTGGGGACTTTTGACCCTTATTTTTGGACAGTTTAAATTTAGTAGTTGGACTTGACTTGAAAACCCAGGTAATGTGGCCCATATACTTGATATTGCTGACCCTTATTTCCAAAAGTTTGATGTATAAAAATAATATAAGATCATATATATATATATATATATATATATAATGCCATGAAAGTATGGGGTAGTGATATTGACACTAAATTCTGCAATTCTTGCAAGTAGAAGTTGCAATTATGTGGTAATACCACAAGTGTGTCAATTATATATGCCGTAAGTAATTGGATGGAGAGGGTGCTCTCATATCTACTTATACAATGGGTGAGAGTGCAAGTTCATATATAATAGTAATTTCCTAAATTAATATTTCCTCTTTCAAGAAGGACATTTTATGGTACTTATTTTGGGACTGACCAAAAAAAAAAAATTATGGTTAGTTTTCAATTAATAGATTGATTTGTACAGTATAAATGCTAAAAAAAACCCATGATGATATGGTATTTTAAAATATATATATATATATATATATATATATATCATAAATAAATGAAGTTAAAATAAAAATAATAATTCTGTAGCAGCAGTACCCTTTATTTTTCCAGTAATTGTTTCCTTGCAAAAAGCATACCAAAAAAAATATATATCTTTAACAAATAGTTAACTATTGGAAACAATCATTGGGGAAAAAATAAAAATAAAATAAAAATAAAAATAAAAAAGAAAAGAGAAGAAAATTATTCAAAGGTTTTTTTTTTTTTTTTTAATGAATGTTGACTTACAAAGCCTTTGGACCATGAAATTAAGTTATGAATTAATTATTTTATGCCTAAGAAATAAGTAATAAAAAGAAGAAGAAAAAGGAAGGACAATTGATTTACCATGAAGTGTGTGTACCTGCACCAGCAGAGAAGAAGAACAATTCCTTAATAGCTTAATAAAGTCCATTGAGTGGATTTACATTAGATTGATACAATGAATCCCACAAAATTGTTGAAGTTTGTTCTGCTTTTTGGGGTCAAAATGACTCACTTCATTAGACATGTACCATAATGACAAAAGAAAAACAGAGAAACTCTTTCAAATTGTACCTTAATTCCAATCAATTTGATTGTTGTACAAGAATCAAAGAAAAACAAAGAAAAAAACAAATAACCAAAAACAGAAAAGAAAAAAGCACTCAATTTTACCATGAAAAAACATTAATGTCATACCAGTGAGCCTTTACCGTAACTTGGTACTTCTTTTACATAGGGTAAAACGGTAAAAGTCAAGAATTCAGGTGCCTGTTGGAGCAATTTGGATTTTGTACATGTGTTTTAATTATAAAAAAACTAAGGCAGTACTCCCGTGATATTTTCTCTCCTTTTAATTTTTTTTTAAATTTTTTTTATTTTTATTTTTTTACAAGATAAAAAGAGTTACAAGTTAGATTAATAGATGCAGAGAGACGAAATCGGGCACTCCACAAGTTAGATTAATAGATGCAGAGACACGAAATCGGGCACTCCAAAATTCACCGAAGATACTAATCCACTAAGCTATCGAGACATCTACCATTTCAAAATGAAATATCATCTCACCAAAAATTTCGTGGGAGTTAGAAAATGGAAAAAAAAAAAATTCTTTTCTCCTAGGGGTAACCTCATTTATTAGGGTTTGTTTTAAAATAAAATAATAATAATAATAATAATAAAAGAATGGTTGAAATGATGAATTGAACTTGAAGGTAGATAATTTTTACATCATATATTAAATCAAGAACTTAAGGTTCTTAAAAACTAGCATGGACAAGGATGTGAGATATATTCACCCAGTAATATTACTGCAACAAATACGAAAATTTATCCATTGCTGCAACAAATACGAAAATTTATCATTTGCAGTATCCATTTTCTACTGATGAGAAAATATTCTTCATCCAAAACAAACCGTGGGTGTATACAAATTACCAGGAACCATTGTAGTAATCATTTTCCTTGTTTGGTGCCAAGGAAAAAATAGCTCTCGGGAAAATACATTTCTTTTGTTCTTTATCTGAACTTTCCTTGCTCTTTTTCCTTTTTCCTTCTCTGTTTACTTCTTGCACTATGTCTTGGTATCAAACTAAGTTGGGGTTTTGCAAAAGGACCTTCAAATTGTTGGCTTTGCTTCCAAACAACCTGGAAATGATAATGTTTGGCTTTTCTTAATTGGCACATTGCTATTTTTTGTTGCACCCAATTTGGGGTTCAAACGTTTGAAATTGAGGTTGTCTAAAATTTGGAGGGTAAGTAATGGCTGGACCTTATTTTAGAATTTCAAACTTGGATACAACTGTTAAGGCAATACAATTTGCATATTCAAAGACTGTTAATTAATTGGCAATTATGGCCGTTATTTCACAAAATACACCCCTAATTAGAACTGAGAACATCTTATTTTATATTTTAATTTTGTTATTGATAAATTTTCATTCAGAGAAAAATTCATTAATGTTACAGCCCAAGATATATGTTCATTTGAGTTTGACTTTACTCCATTGAGAAAAACTCTGTTAATGTGCAATTATGTTTGGGGTTAATGCTTTGATCAAAAATAATTTTGTGTTGCATAAAGATATATTATTATATTGATAATATAAATATGAATGGTAAGGATTGTGATGATGAGGATCGAACGAACTCTCAATGGATCGGATTTTGATCTGAATTTGAATTTGATAACTCGGGATATGGATTACTGCTTGGCTTTTTTTTTTTTTTAGAAGCGTGCCAGAGTCTTTCGACCCAAGGGGTTGGATAGCCAAACTATCTTTAGCGCTGACCGAATTCGTAATCGGCCTTTTTGTAAATCAGACGACTGGTGGAAGGCAAGGATGACCCCTTCCTTCAGGTTCTTCAATGCCTCAATGAAGAAAACTTTCGACAGCAAGGGCTGGAACTGGAAGAAGGAAACAACACAAACTGTTCAAGTGTTCTTCAATTCCAGACTTTGGAATAAACGGAGGAGACAATTGTCCAAGCGTCCATCTAATCCAAGAACAACTTATAAAACAAAATGGAGGAGATACAAGATCCAAGCGTCCACTTTATTTAATAAGAAGTAGTCTTATACAAGAGTACAAGAATAAGAGTTCTATTCTAACACTACTCTTATGGAAAAAGAGAAGTACAAGTAAAACTACATTGTAAGAAAATGTAGTAAAATGAAGAACTAGACTGTAATGAAAATGAAGAACTAGATTGAAATGAAATTGCAGATGTTGTGGTCAGGGACCTTTGTGTAGATATCTTCTAGTGCTATTTATAGAGAAGTTTTGTAGCAGTTGAAAGTAGTTTGCTAGTTTCATGTTATTTAAATTCAAATACCCTATTTGAATTCAAACACTTTTGTCTGAAGATTTATCCACATGAACGTGTTTTTGGAATAAGATTGACGTGACTTTAAATCAAGGAATTATTGAATTTTAGTCTTCAATTTTAAATAGGAGTATTTTATGATAACAATATTAAATTATTATCACTAAAAGGACACATTTCTTCTTCCAATCAACTAATGACATGTGGATAAATTAATATATTTTCCTCCAATCCACCAACACCATGTGTCTGAATTGAAAATTAAATTTAGGGTGTAAACGATTACATTTAATCCGATAACCCGTTAACAATCCAAATTCAACAATCCGTTAGTTACACAAATCAGATATGAATTATGGTTGATCCGATAACAATCTGATCCGAAATAATACATTATATAATATATTAAAATGTACAATCTAATTTTATGATATATAATATTTTTATATTATAAAAAAATCTTCTCATTATTTTCTCGTCTCTTTATTTTTTCCTATTCCCAAGTAACGAGTAAAATATCTAATTTTCTTTTTTAATAATTTTTTATTTTTATTTTTATTCTCTTTCGTCATTAATTTTTTTTTACAAAATAAATAAATAAATAATAACACACACCCCATATCGGATCGGATATCCGTTTATTAACAGTTCGGATATGAATTGATTAAAAATATCTGAAATTATCAGATCAGATCAGATAATATCTTATCAGATTTGATCCGGTCCAAAACTGACCCATTTACAGGTCAAATGGGACATGTTTTCAAAAAACCGAAAGTCCCATTATATCTTCTTTTCTTTTTTCCTTTGGCATTTGGCAAAGGTACTATAATACTTAAGTTAGCAAAAATATAATAATAAATAATAGCAATCTGATTTGATCATTGAGCACTCACAAGGAACCTATGAATCCGGAAAGAAATCCTCTATGTCAAACAGGAGTCTTGTAGGGGCCGGTTCCTATGTGTGGCCCAGAATGGGCCACCCCAATTTTTTTTTTAACAACACTGTGCAAAGAGTTACTGTCGTTTGTTACTGAGTGAATATGTAGTGTGTGTGTGTATATATATATATATATATTTGGGGGATTTTACCAAAATATCCTTAATATTTTGAAATCCCCCTTTCTACCCTTACTGCCCTTCTCATTTCCCTCCCAAATTGTGTTATAGGTCTTGGAATTGGTGCTAAAAATCATGAAGGGAAGTCGAATTGGAAGAAGGGTGCTGAAAATCATGAAAGGAAGTCTTGGAATTGGAACGCAAATCGAAGTGTTCATCATTGAGTCAGAGCTTTT